CTTCTTCTTCTTCTTCCTCTTCTTCTTCCTCCTCCTCCTTCTCCTTCTTCCTCTTCTTTCTCTTCTTCTTCTTCCTCCTCCTCCTCCTTCTTCTTCTCTCTATTAGAGAGAGGGAGGGAGAGAGACAGATACAGAAAGGGGGAGAGAGAGAGAGACTTCAAATGAGGAAGAAAGGTAAGAATTCTGGGAATGATTTGGAGAATTCAGCCAAGAATAAAAAAAGAGTGCTCTAGCCTGGCCAGAACTAGGCTGTTGCCCATGATACATTACTGACATTAATTCTAGTTCTTCCTCTTCATTGAGAAATCTATAATGTCTAAGAAAAATCCTAAATACCATTATTGTGGTATGTTAACCCTTCCACAATCTAGTCCTAGACTGTGTCATGCTACTCAACTCACCTGTTTAGCCTATCGACCAACTCACTGCTCCCCAGTTATTTCTGATACTTCCATTTCAGGGTTTCTGCTGGAGTGACCTCAGACCCTCCCTGTCTGATTCTACCAGTTCTTGAGGATCCAGCTAAAATTATACTTTTGTTATAAAGCCTTCTCATGACCACCCAGGCTACATTAAACTTCTTTCTCCATGCTACCCTATATTTGAAATATGAAGAATGAAGAGCTAACATAACTATGTAGCTATCTCATATTTTCTCGTATTATCTAAAGTACATCTTTGTGTAGCTTGACAACAGAGTAATATGCTAACAGATACTTGCTAATTGATAAAGCCAATAATTTTTAAATATAGATTTGGTAATAGGTTTATAACTAGTATTTTAGTTGGCTACAAACTACTTCCCTTGGTATATGCTACTTCAAACTCCACATGTCAAATAGGACTCACTGGCTTCTCCCTTGTCCCCTACCAAACACTCCTTCATAGCTCCCAGTATCTGTCAGTGATTCATCATTATTTGTCTTGTTATCTGGGAGCTCCAGTGGTGCAGTCGGTTAGTGCATGGTACTTATAGCTTGTTCTCTAATTGTTTAATATATGGTTTGTCTTAACAACTTTTTTAATAAGGTCCTAAAGTAATAATTGTGACCTAGATCTCTCTATTTTGGCATTCCACAGTGAAAATAGTACCCAGTGTTTGATGGTTAAATTTACAATTTTTCCACAATGATGTGAAAGTATACATATACAACCATTCTGTTTTTCACTTTAAATGCCATATTTAATAAATTACATGAGATTCAGTACCTCATAATAAAATAGACTTTAAATTATGATGTTCTGGAGGATATGTATATTAAATACATTTTTTGACTTTATACATAATTATACGTTACATAATGTATAATATATAATGTATATGAAATACATTTTTGACTTAACTTTCAGTTTAAAAAGGGTTAACAGGACATAACCCCATTATAAGTAAAAGAGTATTTGTTCTTATGTGGTTGAATTCATGATAGTTATTCAATAAATACTTTGTTTTAAAAATTCAACATATTCTATAAATTTTTTCGGTGGCAGATTAAAAAGTCTTTGCAAGTTTTGTTTTCCACTAAAAAAAAACCTAAAAAAAATGTTGATTCTCTGTACAGGTGGGAGTATTGACATACAAGAAGAATCAATAATAGACAAAGGGAATAAATTTCGACCTGAAACCCTAAGTAAAATTATGGTGGAAAATCAAATTGAAAAAACCAGAAAACTTATATTAAAAGCTGAAAGGGCTCAACTTAAGATTCAGCAGCGGAAAAAAGAATGGGAGGAACTGTGAGTGTTTTTTTTTTCCACCTAAAGTCTTATTCTTTTAATACGTGAGCTCCAAATATATCTTTTAAAATCCTTTTATTGACATTGTTATTATTTAAATTAAAAACTGAAAGAAATAAAAACGGACAAAGGCATTAAAAACAGGTAAGCTGACTCTTTTAACATCTATGATCCTTAGAGTTTCAGGTCTAAGAATTCCATTTTGCTAATATAGTCAGAGTGGTTTTTTGTTTTTGTTTTTGTTTTGGTACCAGGGATCGAACTCTGGTCCTTGAGCTTGTGAGGCAGGTGGCAAAACCACTGAGCTAAATCCCCAGCCCATAGTCAGAGTGATTTTTAAGGAATAAGAAATTCTTTTCTATCCCAACATTGTAAAGATCCATTTCACTGTCAGTGTCTGCCTGTCAGTGTCTCCTGACTATATTTAATGTCTGAACATAGTTGCTACATACATTTTTAAATTCAGTTTTCTAGTTGTTTACATCATGAAGATAATTACAGCCCCTGATTCACTCATATGGCAGAAGCAAAAATACTTCATTTCTCTTTTCTTTTCCTTCTCTTCTCTCCTTCCCTTTTGTCTTCTCTTTCTTTCTTACTTCCTTTAAAAATAATAATCCTTTCTTTTAGTGCAGCTCTACACAAATGAATACCAATTTAATACCAAAAAATGGCATGAATTTCCTCTGCTGTTTTGCATTTGTTTTCCTAAAAAAGGTTTCTTCTAAAGAAAAGTGCTGACTGGAAGCTGTGTGTGCATGTTTGTATTGGCTGGTAGACTTCACTTTAAAGAATTAGGTAGGAATGTTGGAGTCTCATAATTAAGGGTCTTGCAATTGAATGCTATCCATTCTCATAGATGTCTTAGAACTTCCCAAGCAAAAAGTACAGAGCAGTTCTTCAGTTTTAGTCTTGGTATAAATGTTGGTATAGAAGTTGCTACTGTTTTATATATGTGGAAAGTGGGGGGGGGGCTCAGTCATCCCTGTTTAACCCTTTAATTAATTTTGCCAAATATGTCTGTCATTCCATTCCACTGCCCACAGCAGCTCGTTTTATGCTCGGACCCTCTTAGGGATCTACCAAGATCATACTCAATTCTTTTTGTACCCTTCTCTTATGGGTATTATGGGATATAGTCTTCTCTGGTTTGGTCCGAAATATAATTTCATCTTCTTTCTGTCTTTTAGAAATGTACAATATCATTGGTTTGCTTGTGATTTTCTATCCCATTTTTGGCCTTCCTAAGGATTTATTACTTTCTGTACCTCTGTATTGTCATTCCTATAGAATCTGGGGACAGAGGAGGAAGCAAACACATATGCCCTTGCTATCATCTTAACTAGGTTATTTTTCTAGAAAATTTTGTGACAATCTCTTATGTAATAAAGTTTGATGGACTTTTTCATGATTTTTAAAACCACCCACTTTCCAAGGCTTACTTTATATTAAGAGAATAAATGGCAATCTTAGTGTGGATTACTTAGAAGCAAACAAAAGCCTAACAGTGATTAAGATTATTTCAGTACAATGTAGTGATTGGTTTTAACTTATTTAAATATGTATTATTTTTCTTGGGATACTTATTAGTAATCATTAATTTTATCTTTTATTTTTATTTTTATTTTTTTGGTACCGGGGATCGAACTCGGGTCTTTGCACTTGCGCAGCAGGCGGCGAAACCACTGAGCTAAATCCCCAGCCCAATAATCATTAATTTTAAAATGCTCTGGCCCTATAAACAAAGTAGCATCACAAATTCAGAATTGTGCTTTTGCTTCATGACTAAATTTGAAACTGTACATATATTAAAGTAGAAAAATTAGAGTTTACTGTTAAATTTGTGTCTGGGTTGTCTATTTTTCCGACAGGTACAGAAGTAAACCCGATGATGACTATGAAGATCCCAAAGATGTTCAAGCCATCAAAGAAGCCCAAGTGTATATGGGAGATTTCAACCTAAAGACAGCCCCAGACTACAAGATACCTGAGCACATGAGAATAAATGCTGCCAAGAAGGAAGAGGAACTAGGACACCTTGACTCTTTGGTATTTACCTACAGATTTCATGAAAATGAGAAAACACTCTGGGTTTTCACTTGAATTCTGCTAAAACCACTTCTTTCTCTAGCTTGTCTGTAAGGATATACAGTCACAGAAATTTAGGCTTTGAAAAGATTCATAGCTGTCTAGAATGCCCTCTTTACGTGAAAGAGGGAATAGACTTAGCAAGAACAAGAGATTTGTCATCATTGTTGAGGGCTAATATGGTAGCACCAGCCTTCACGTCAGTTGTATGGCTGGAAACATTTCTTGAATGAAAACATTATACTGTTTTGTGGGCGTTGAACTTCTGAAAGTTAAGTCCATGTTGGATTTAATATTTGTCTACCATGAATAACCAAGGACTTAGGAGGAAAGGTCATTGTTAAGTCTTTCTTTGAGGACTTTCAGCCTTTTGTAGGAAACTCAACACTAATTAATATACTGTTTTCTGAATTTCTCTGTATTCTTCTAAGTATCCTGATTTTTCATTTTCTTTTTTCTTACTAAAGTTTCTTCTTCTTGCCATATTAATTCCTCACTCACTATTTGAAGTTTAGAAGGCATCTGAGTCATTGTGTTTAGGAGGATTTGATACTTGGCTGCCTAATGTCTTATGCAGTTGCACAGTTCAGGGCATGAAACTGGAGAAGGTGTCGGTCATATCACATATAGTATATTTGAATATTTTACAATTTTGTGACAAATGGAAATGAAGGATACTGGAAGAAGAAGTTTCTTTTTCTACTTCACCAAAGGTGTTATGTATCAGTAGGACAGGAATCCTGCCATGGCAATTCATGCCCACAAATTCTCATAGCTCATAATTTGTACCTTTAGGGTAAAAATGGACATTTTACATGTTATTAGTGACCACTTGGACATTTTTCTAGCTGTTTGTCTAAGGTGATTTTTTTTGTTAAATTCTTTTATTGGTTCATTTTAGATATGCAACACAATTACATTTCTCATTGGGAATTGTACCTTTACATAATGCATCTTGGTTCTTATTTTTCCTCCATTCCTAACCCTCCCTTCACCCCCTCCACCCTTCCCTATTTACAAAGACTTTATTTCCATTTTTTCCATTTCTCATCATTTTTCCTTTCCCTTCTTTCCTTTCCCCTGCCCCTCCCACTACCCCTACCTTTTGGACCTTTTCTTCCTATTTTGCATTATCAATTATTCATTCTAATCATTGGTACATTTTAGGTATACAATATAATGACATTCATCATTGGAAATTTGCACCTTTACATAATCTCTCTTCGTTCTTATTTTTCACCCCTAAGGTGATTCTTAATTATCCATTATGTTCCATCCATCATCATAGATAAATGTTCTTAGGACCACATTATTTTAAATATGCTGTCTTAGTTACTTTTCTCATTGCTGAGACAAAATACCTGACACCCAAAGTTAAAGGAGGAAAAGTTTATTTGGCTCACAGTTCACAGAGGTTTCAGTCCACAATCCGCTGGCTCCAAGGCAGAGTGGCTTGGCAGAGGAGAAACAGTTCATTGTGCCCAGAAGGTGGCAAAGCAACAAAGGACCTTAACAGCATCTTTCTCCCTCTTTTATCTTATCTAGACTACCAGGATTAGGATGGTGCCAAACCAATCAGGGTACTGGTTTAGTAATCACACGCCCTTAATCCCAGCATCATACACTCTAGATTCAGCCACCTATGACCCCATAAGGCTTTGGGGGACATCTAAACCCAAACCATAACATGTTCTATTTAAACTTGTTAACTAGATAGCTATGTGTTTATATCTCGGTTTCTAGATTTCACGTGACCACAACTTATTAGTTATCCAACCTGAACTAACTAACTAACTTCCTCTCTCTCTTACCTTTCTTTCTCTTTCCTTCTTTCTGTGGTACTTGGGTCAAACCCAGGACCTCATACATCCTAAGCAAACACTGTACCACTGAGCCATATCCCCCAGCCCACCCAACCTAAAAATTTCTAGTCTTGCCAGAGAAGATGGGCAGATGTGGTGTCTTGAATGAACTTAACTGCATTACACTGAAATATACTTAATTAAAATGGGAGCATGAAATATTGTAGAACATACTATACCCAGCTGAACATAAAGCTCTAGAAAGGACTCAAGAGAACTCAGCCCTACAAGCCAGATGAAGGGAACAAATTATGAGAAGCAAACAGATACCAGAGATCCAGGCTGTCCTCCCATAATAAATCGGAAATCTAAAAGCTAGTGAGTAATTTAGTGCTGAACAGAGATGATCAGATACATTTTCATCTTAGATTTTTACTAGGCCTGCCAATCAAGGAATAAGAGCAAATGATAGCCTTTGTGAAACAAATTGTCATTAGTGAAAAAGTTGTCATTTTACTTCCTTTCTTGTATTTTTTTCCAGGTCTATACAAAGAAAGTCCACATGAACAAGTGCATCTTTTCTCTTCGAGACCTTAAAGTGGCTGTTGTTGAAGAAATACAGTGCCTGGTACAAGAAGTGAAGAACATTCAGGCGACCCTTCACATATCCAAGCATATCCCCATTCCTCAAATCCCTCAGATACACCCAGAAGAAGTTCCAGAAAAGAGATTTCAGTATGATGAGGAGACCCTCATAAAGTTTAAGGAACAGAAGGTGAAAAGTCTGATTGAAAAGCCCAGCCAAGTGGAACATATGGGGTCTGGAGTCTCAAGTGGAAAAGATAGTGATTTGACCACGCGAGATTCATCAGTTAGGTTTTCTGGAGCATCAATATTCAGTTCAGATCTTCAAATTGAATTTGAAAAAGCAGAGCCAACTGATGTGGAGCTAGAGATTATGAAGAGGGATGAGGTTAAACACTTGTATATGCAACAGTATTTGACCAACAGGGTAAGAAACAAACCTGTCCTTACTTAAAGCTGAAAAAAGAAAAAGGAGAACAGTTAAAAATTAGATATAGTTTAAAATTTATTTCAGATTTCTCTGATTAATGTTCTCTGAATCATCTTACCTCTCACTAATGGCTTGGCTTCCTCTCCATCCTTGGCCTTCTAAAACTCTTTGTGCCCTGCCCAGAACTTTGGAGCACTGTAACTTTTTCTTTTTGGAAAGCTAATAATAAAGGGCAAACCCATGTTTCAGTTATCTGGCATCTAAGTGGAATTATGGTAAAGGGAGGCTGAAGACCAGCTTCAGATGATAAATGACAAATAATTACAACTGTCTCAGCACAGTGGAGAGCCCTCTGCTTTTCAGACCATCCTCTTCCTCTGATGTGATTTGCTCTAGTCGTGAGAGTGATGGCTGGGTTTGAGATTGTTCTGGAGCAGGAATGGCAAGCACTGTTATTTTTAGGAAAGTCAAGATTAGACTGGGAACAGATGTGTAGGAAATGCTTTAAATATGAAAGGAAAAGAACCTTTCTTGGATAGATATCTCCCTGCTGCCAGCCCCTGGCTCCGTGACTTTTCATCTCCAGCCTGGGGTAGTGCTCCCTGTTGTTTCTCAACCTTATTCTTCATCCATTATTTCCTCCATTCTTCATCCATTCTATTTCCTCCTCTGCTTTCCCTTTTCACATCTTTGCTTTTACCTTTGCTATCTCCTCTACCTGCAATGATTTCTTCTCAGGGTTGAGCTGTCATTCAAAGCACAGCCTAGTTCCACACCCCTCCCAGCCTTTTATGCTCACATACCATACTCTGTCCTCATTTCTAAACTCCAACAGTACCCATAATCAACACCTTGTATTTTAAACTTGTTTTTCTTCATGTGTCAGATTTGTTTTATCTTGCAATTAGATCATATAGTTCTCTAGAAAAGGGTCATATATACAACATACCTTTGCAAAGTTGTGGGTCAGAGTTTCTGGCCTCAGTCCTTCAAAGATTTTTCCTTAGGACCTAACTAATAATTGTTCCAGGAAACCCTCACAGTTTTGCAGAAACCACAAATATCCTCCACAGTTCTTTTTTTTTGGTGGGAGGTTTGCAAGTAGCCAATCTGAGAATGTTATTCTGTTCTCTTTGCCACTGATTAGCTGCTGCCCTGTAACCCATCACCAGCAGATGAACCAGTTTTCCTGCATCATAACAGGTTGCTTTGCTGTATGTAGCTATCTCTACTGTTCTTGGTTTTGTTCTTAAAGCCCTAAGATCCCTAAGATGCCACAAAAATATCCTGCACCTTTTAAGGCTTCTGGCAATGAACCTAAGGGCTGGAAGAGTTTTAAAACACTTCAGAAGATTGAACTACCTGTATATTTTACTGTACAGTATTTTTTATTAAATTGAGTTATTACAGTACTATATATAGTGTTTTATTAAATTAAATTACATAACTGTGGGAGACATAGCATAATTAGTATTTAAATAGGTATTTATAGGCATTTTTCTGACCATATCTGAAAATTGTGGTTTTTTACAGTTCATGGGTACCCTAGGAATGTAAGCCCTGCAAATTTCAGGGGTCCAATGTTCATGTTCTGATTCCCCCCACATCTAGGACAATAGTAGATATGTAATAGATAGTCAGACATAAGTTTTGATTTAATTATAACTATTTTATGAATGTAACAAATACTTATGGGATACTTTATGTACAGGGCCAATGCTAGCTAGATAGTAGGGATATGGCAGTATTCAAGAAAACCACATTCTCGATCCTCGCAAAGCGTGTAGGCTATCAGGGGTTAATGAAAATGAAATAAATGCAGCCCTTATAAACGTGAAGACCTATATTGTCCTGTTTCAGAATAGTGTTGTGATGAAGAAAGTATGGCACTTCCTCCAAAGACATTTAGGAATAATATATATTTATTGAACAAGCACTAGAGAGGAACCCTAATGCAAAATTTACAGCCACACTTACTTAAAAGTTTAGTTTTTCTTCTTTTTATTTTTTTAGCCTCTCTCAAATTTTCCCGTAACTTCACTGTCCCCAAACCACCGATTGTTTTCCTTTTCCTCAACCATGAATCTAGAACCTCACTTGTGACAGGCTCTTGACAGTTGGGTTTCTCCATAATGTGTAAAATACAACCCAGTGAAAACTAGAGAGTGCTTTGCCTCTTCCTCCAGATCAGCCCTTGAGGGTGTCTTTTGATGTCTTCTTGTGCTTTGAGAAGAGGTGGGGAGGATCTGTGCTTAAGTTAGAGAAAAGCAGAGGACTTAAATGTACTTGGTCCAGGGTGGGATGGGGTCCAGGCAAGGATGTAGAATACTTAGGTTCTTATCTCATCTCTGAATAAAGAAGCTTTGATAAGAAAATCACCTTTGGCCTCAATTTCTTCCTCAGTAAGATAAGAAGATCAAACAGTTTCTGTAGCTCCATGATTATACTTATCTATTTAAAAGTCTTACCACTCTGTTGGCTTGAAATTTTTTTTCTGAATAAATATTTGGGCTTATTATAAGAAACTCAAGCAGTGGTGATTCAAGGAATGTAAAGAGGAGACAGATATAAACACTTCCCACAAAGAGTTTTTCATCAATACATTACAGCAAGAAGGACCTCTTGACTAATATCTTAATCTGGAGTAAGGAAATAGCTCAAAGGGCTATATAGTCCATTTAATGATTTAATGATTTATGCAAATGCTATTAGTGAATTAATTATATGACCACATACATATTAGTGAATTGATTATATGACCACATACATATAATTCTCTACCCATAATTAAGGCATAATGAAAAAATAATTTTAGACAAAATAGTAATGTTCAGTAGTTGGGTTTTTTTTTTTTTGGTACTGGGGATCGAACTCGGGTCCTTGCGCTTGCGCAACAGGTGGCGAAACCACTGAGCTAAATCCCTGGCCCCTAATGTTCAGTAGTTTTAAATTTTTCATTTATAATTCCTTTTAGCTTTTAATATATTCTCAAATGCATTTTCTACTCAGATCAAAGAACTGATGGTCACTTTTGATGCAGAACTCCGTCTCCTGAGACATCAGAAACTAAAACTAGATACTCAGATGAAATTATCTGACCTACACCATGTCACTTTATTTCAAGAAATTCTTCTTCTCAAGAATTTTGAAAAACAGGAAAACATACTTCAAGAGCGTGTTAATTCATTAGACAAAGAAGAGCAGGACATGCAAGTAACAGCGGGCAGGAGAACCCTCTCTGGTTCTTCCCTTTGTTATAGAGAGAACTTGACTCTTTTTCCCTTTCTTCTCTTCTTAAATTTCCCCTCTTATGCTAGCCCTCATCTCTTTCTTGTCTTCTCTCTCTCCTCTTTCCCATTATTTCTGTTTGGCCTCTGTCTTTAGCAACTTTGGTCAGAATAAAATGACTGATTTTTTAGTGAATTTGATTTAATGTTGTGTAAGGTAAGAGAATGAAATTTTCAATAATGAACCTTATATTTAGTTTATCTATAGATTTCAAAAATCTGTATTTTTGCCATCAGCAAAAACTTGAGTTTTGATTGTTATCTTTATGAACATAACTGGGAAAGAAACTGGTGACTATCTTAACTATGATAGCTATTTTTAGTGTAATAGATAATTGAATAACATAGGAAACAGCTTGATTGTGTATATATATATATATATATATAAAATATATTTTTAAAGAACCAAATTATAATTTCTTTAGAGAAAGGATTTGTTAAGTAGATATTCTGAAAAGTAAGATCAAATTTTAGGTACATCAGCTTCAGTAGAGATAATGTACATTTTTGTTTTGCATATCATATTGCAACACAAAAATCTTTGTTTTTGAGACATGCAAAAATATTTAACTGACATCCAGATATAAGTAAAAATTCCAATTTAATTTAGATTTTTTAAAGAAAGCTAAATATTAGAAAACTGATCTTTCTGATTATGAACTTAATGGATTTTTACAAAACAAGAATAAAATTTTAATGAAATAAATGGCTGTCTCTGCAAAAGTAGAAATGTAGACTTCTACTAAGAAGCTTTTTAAAAAAGTTTGTAGACTGTAAGATTGCACTGTAAAACACATTGCCCTGTGAACCTGGTTTATTAGAAACATTTATTTATCATTTGTTTTTGATTTTGTTCATTTAGTGGAAAATAAATGACACTCTTAAGGAGATGGAAGAGAAAAAGAATGAAATCACCAAGCTCCAAGAGCAAGAAAAAGCTCTTTATGCTGGTTTCCAAACAGCCCTTGGAGAGAATAATAAATTTGCAAACTTCCTCATGAAAGTCCTAAAGAAGAAGATTAAGCGAGCAAAGAAAAGGGAGGTTGAAGGAGATGCTGGTTTGTATTCTATTTATACATTTTATTCTATTCCCTGTCATTAATATTGAAAAAAAGAAGTAACTAAGGTTCCTATATGTTGTTGCTTTCCCCCCCTACTTCAACAGAGGCAATGCAAAGGCACTTTGAGGTTTAAAAAGGAGGGGATATAAACCTTTAGGGTCTTTATGTGAAGTGTGTGTGTGTGTGTGTGTGTGTATGTGTGTTAATAGGATTATATTTTTTACTTCTAAAATTTCCCATTAGTCCTTTATATTTTCTGAAGCTTTCTTTGTATTTTTTATTTCTTTCAAGTGTATTTTTAATTGCTCACCAAAGTATTTTTATCATGGCTGCTTTAGTTTATCAGATAATTCTAACATCTATCACCTTTTGTTGAAATCTTTTGGTTGTCTTTTTCCATTTAGTTGAAGATCTTCCCAGTTTTTGTAGTGACAAATGACTTTCTTTTTTTTTTGGGTATTGAGGATTGAACTCAGGATATTGCGCTTGCAAGGCAGGCGGCAGCACCACTGAGCTAAATCCCCAGCCGACTTTCAATTGAAGCCTAGTTTCATATTAAAAAAGTGAAAAGTGTTGGAGTACCTCATTACAGCCCTGTGAGTGTGGATGTCTAGTCCTTCTCACTCACCTTTTGGTGATGTGGGTAGACATAGGAGCACATTTTACTGTAGTGTTTTGTTGGAATAAGTGAATAAGGTCTAAAAGTTTTATCTTTCTGAGCTTCCCCTTATTCTTTGACTAGAGAGTAAACTTTTGTTGGACCTTTCTGTACCTGCACCTGATGGTATACTAACTTGCCAACTTATTCACTCCTAAGTCTGATATAGATAAAGCAAAAAGAAGACCCAATGAAAACACTACAGTTTTGTGTTTTTTTTCAGGTTCTCAGATGCACTCTTCGTTTGCTTGCTTCTCTCCATCTTTCAAAATCTTATGTATATTTTACACATAGTATTTAGCTGTATTTAGAGAGAAATAGACAATAGTAAGTCTACTTTCTTTCTTTTTTTTTTTTTTAGGTACCGGGGATCAAACTCAGGTCCTTGTGCTTGCAAGGCAAGCAGTGGAACCACTGAGCTAAATCCCCGGCCTGTCTACTTTCTTTTCAGAAAGCAGAAGTCTATGTAAAAAATTTTAGAATTAATTTTGAAACTTTTCCGAATCATTTTATTTGGTGTCACAGATCACTTAAAGTAACATTAAGAGAGACCTTAAACTGAAATCCGGAAAATAAGAGGTTCATCTCTTATCTCTAATTTGGAGTTCCATGAAACAGGAATTGCAGATTGATGATATGTGGTTCATAGATGTCCTTAAAGTGTTTTAAAAGAAAATGGGGCAAGGTAGAAAGGTCTACAATGCCTTGGCACAGTACCCTTGTGAATAGATTGCTTTAGTATGTAGACATTTTTATATTATATAAAAAAATATATATAACATTGTAATAAAAATATGCTTTTTAAAGAATGTTAAGGCAGACTTTATGCAGAGGGAGTTACTACAATAGGGTTTTGTACTTGGAGAAAGAGACGGAGCTCAACTCTGAATACAGGGCAGGTAGAGATTTATAGCTTAGGAGCAGGGTGGCATCACTGGAGCAAAAATTATTAACAAGTAGGATAATTTTTTTTCAATACTAGGCATTAAACTCAGGACCTCGCACTTGCCAGGCAGGCAAGGCGCCACTGTGAGGCTGGGTATATGAGGAAATGGATCCAATATCAAGGGTGTAGGATTTTCACTAAGAAAATTTAGCAGAATTCTTCTACAGGTGGACAAGGTGGGTTAAGGACAGAACCAAAGGTTGGGAGCTAGTCAGAAAGAGGACTCAAAGAAGGCTGTCTCAAGTTTGGTGAAAGGAGAGAGTATCTATCAACATAACACCTCTCTGGTATAGGATCTCTAAGTCAAATAATATTTTTGCAGCAAAACACAAATATTCACAATAGATGAATTAGGTAAAAACTATAAATAGTGTAAGTTCAGTTTAGGTAAGTTATGAAAATCCTGTTTTTAGAGAATTTAGTGACTTAGGAGTTGTGGGCCCATTTTGCCAAGTGTGTGGTTGGTAGGCTGCAGCATGGTAGCCTGGTAACTGGGTGCTAATATTTTTGACTTGATGCATTAATAATAACCACAGGACCTTCTGCAGGCATCTGAGTTTGTGACCTCTGTGTCCTTAACAATTTTATACTCTCCTAAAAATAGTGAATAATCTGCTTTTTGTTTTTGTTATTTTCTTGCTGTCTGACTCATTGAAAAATACCTTAAAAATCTAGTACTTAATTTAGTAGAGGAGATCCTCTGCTAACGGAGTTCTCTCTCCTTAGATGAAGATGAGGAAAGTGAGGAATCAAATGAAGATGAATCCAGCCTGGAGGATGATGAAGACGAATTTGGATCTGAAGCTGAGGTTTTGGATGATTCTATCTGCCCCATAGGTGTGTTTGGATAAAACCATGTGTTCTTTGTGAAGTGTGACCAGGGATTGACAATATTAAGAAAGTTCCTTTTTAAATTCACAATTCTCTGACAATAAAATTTAAGGAAAGGGTGGCATCAAATATATGAAGAAGAGTCTAATTATTCTGTGGGAGGCTCTCTGGCTGATTTAATGTATGTTCCCTCAAAAAACCTTATATAAATAATAAATTAATAATCTGCACACAAAATTGATTCAGAGTTACTATAAATTATATAGCAAATTTCATTTTCTGGAGACACATGGGATGACAACTTATATAGATTTTTAAACAATACTTTCCTTTTTTGAAAAACCACGTAATTTTTTTTTTTTTGGCACCAGGGATCGAACTCGGGACCTTGTGCTTTCGAGGCAGGTGGCGGAACCACTGAGCTGAATCCCCGGCCCAAAAAACCACTCATTTTATATTTCAAATTTGCTTTGTGAGAAATTTGTGCTACAAATTTCCATTTCACTGGAAATGGTTGGCAGTTTATATTTTCACCACGGTGAAACCACTCTAGAGCAGCTAGACAAACATCCTTATAGTCTCAAGTGTAAATGGTTCACTGGAGAAAACCAGTTTGCTTTGGTCTGTAATTTGATTTCCTAGACAATTAAAATAACGTTTTAATCAAAATATAAAAGTTTAATTTCAAGTAAAGTTTAAATCTTGTTTTAACTTTGAAAACAAGTGTCTAATGATAATATTTATGAGTAGAAGAGAGCACGAAAACTTTGTGATGCAACTCCTTACTTTACAGCAAAATTAAATGGCTTGTAAAACACCGCACAGTGGGATGGTTGTAGAACTAGGGCTAGAATTAAGGTTTCTAATTTCCATCTTAGCATTGTGTTTTTACATTCTTTATCTATTACTTGGTTAGTTAATATGGGTGTTAGTGTGGTAGAGTGGAAAAGCATTGAAAGGTAATGCACCTGAAGACATGCTATCATGCATGCTATCGTGTATCAGTTATGTCACCTCTGAGATTTTAGGTATTCACCTATAGAATAAGGACAATAGTTACTATCTTGTAGCCTCTAGCCTTGAATGAGAGCATGTACCTAAAGTGCCTAGCACAGTTTCTGCCTGGAGTAACAGGGCCGTAAGTGCAGTGGATCTGTGAATAGACATTATTAATTCTGAAGCTCAGACTCCACCCTGCTAGAACTACCACATTCCCTAACAAATGGGGCTACTTTTTAATTTTTACTCTCGTTTCAGGCTGTGATGTGGGTCTTTTTGAACGAGCCCTTCAACTTCGAGAGAAAAGGCTGGACATAGAGGAGGCCTTGATTGAAGAAAAGAAAATTGTCGATAACCTCAAAAAGGAATATGATACATTGTCTAAAAAAGTATGGTTGTCTGCCTACTTGCTTGTCTTCTCCCAACATGCTACACACCCTCCCAGCCAATTCATAACAATGACATTATTAGGACTGTCAGAGAAGGAATATTTCAAATGTTATGAATAGTGGTACAGGTCATTGCTCTTTGATCATCAGACAAATTAATGATTCTTTATCTTAATCATTGGTCTCTAAACTTTTTAATTACATAAGCAAAAAAATTACAGTGCATACTCCATAATAAATGATATATATTTTAAATTGTGTTTAGGAAATGTTTTAGTATATCTTAGTATACTATGAAACATTCACAAGAATGAGGTAAAAATAAATAGAAATTCTGATATTTTCTCTCTGTACCCCCCAAAATCATTTTGCTGACACTCTGAGGGATGCACACATTGCATACTGTCAATCACTAAGCTAAATTTCTGGTGTAATATTGACTACTTTCTGCCTTTTCTGTTCATTTCCCCCCATAGCTACTCTTGTGTAGAGTAACAACATCCAACTTGATTTATACTCAGAAATATTTTTAAACTTTATTTCCTCCTACAAACAGTCAATGTTATGGAAACCTTTCATATTTTTTAGGAGGTGAAGAACATGCTTTAGAAATACTCCTTTATGGGCCGAGGATGTAGCTCAGTGGCACCGCACCTGCCTTGCAAGTGCAAGTTCCTGAGTTTGATCCCTGGTACCCCCCCCAAAAAGAAAAGAAATACTCCTTTAAAGGGATTTCCCTCCTTATTTAATGAGGTCATTATGGCCAAACAAGATTCTCATCACTCTGACAAAGACATCCCATGCTGAGGGGTGCTTCTCATGCAGAAAATAAAAAAGGAGATGAGGACACATCTTCTGAGCTTTTATGTGCAAAATCTTAAAACTTTGGGGGCATAGGAATGATTGAAAAAGTGATGTGGGTCCTAACTTGGCAGGAAGAAAATAATACACATTCCACCTCAGTCCAACAAAGCACATCCTGCTCATGCTGTACTCCCTCCTAAGACACCCTCACTTCCCACTTTCGGTGTGGTTCATTGGGTCTTGTCAGCATCGCTCATACGGGGCTTTCTACAGGTAAAAGTTGTGGCAATGAATTTGAAGACAGCAGAGGAGGCCCTGGAGGCTTATCAGCGAGAGAAGCAGCAGCAGCTGAATGAGGTGCTGGTTGTGCTTCCATTCAAGCTCCACCAGGTGAGATCTGAGCGCTCATCCCAACCAGTCTGAGCAGAGAGGCATCATTCCCAGACTTTCCCAGAGAGAGCTTCACGGGTCATCAGTGGGGAGAAGCACCTTGGCGGAGGATTCTGCACGTAGGATGACACCCTAACTTTTCTTATCCAGTATCAGATTGTTACTAAAGGGCCGGGGATTTAGCTCAGTGGTTGCGGCGCCTGCCTCACAAGTGCAAGGTCCCGAGTTCGATCCCCGGTACCAAAAAAAACACAACACACACAGATTGTTACTAAAGCAGAACATCAAAGTGTGCGTATTTCCCTGGGACTCATTACCACTTTAAAAGTTGGGTCATTTCAGGTCTGGAGAAATGATTTAAGAATGAAACGGCCTGGAGATTGAGATGTGGCATCTTACACACATGTCACTCTACCATCTTTAATTAAACATGAACTAATGACAAGACAAAAAGAAAATATTTTCTCTTTATTCCTTCTCTTCATTTTCCACTGTTGACTTGAGTTACAACTTATATAAAATAATGGAAATACATATCAGTGAAAAAAAAGGCTCAGGATAAGAAACTTTATTCTACAAAACAAAAACAAACAAATAAAAGAACAAGATCAGCCTTATATACTTTTTATATAACCAGACCCAAACTAGGTAAGCTCTACATAGCAGTTTGCCTACACTGCCAACCCTGAAATATTGGTTCCATCTGTGTGGGAAGGTTTGCTGTCTCCAGAGAGACATAATGTGGCTTGCAATCTGTAATTTTCTGTTTATCTGGTCATTGTCATTCAGTGGTGAGAGAGAGAAGCCCAAAGGCAAGAAAGTAAACCAAGGACAAGAAAGAAGTATTCCTCTCCTGCTTTCTCTTAGCTCACATTTAGTTTGTGTCTTTGTTTATTTTGATTTTTTATTAATACCTGTTTGCAGTACATGATGGTTACATTCATTGTGGGGAGCTGGTATATGTACTTAGCACATCTCAATTCTTTTTACTTCCCTTTTCCCTCTCCTTTCTTCCTCTGTGTTTTTTAGATAGAGTATATGGTATTTGGGGAAATACCTAGTGATCTTTCTGGTACTTTGGTCTTCTCCAACCACTCCTTGGGACGGCTGCAAGAACGAATTGTACAGCTCCAGGAAGAAAATACCAGTCAGCAAAAACTTAACAAAGAATGCTGGGAGAGGCGTAAAATGCTCATCCGAGAAAAGAGGGAGATGGCAAAAAACATAGAGAGTGAGTATCTAAGTATATTAATAACTTAAAATACAATACCTGATGCCCATACCTCTAAGGAAAAAAGATTTATTTGGGCTCACAGCTTATAGACTAGGTATCAGTCTGTAGTCAGCTGGCTCCAAGGTAGGGCAGCATGGCAGAAGAGAAACAGCTCATGACATGGCAACAGGAAGCATAAAGAGAGAGAGACAGGAGGAAGAGGGGAGATATAACCTTCTAGGCCACACCCCCAGAGACCCTCCTCCTTTGACCAGGCTTCATCTCTCAACATCACATTTAGCTATAAACTCATCAGTGGGCTAATCCATTGAAGAGTATCATGCCCCCATGATCCAGTTGCCCCCAGAAGTCCCACCTATGAGCTCATGAGGCTGTGGGGGGACCATTACAGGAAGCTCGTGGGTTTTCCAGTAATACTTGTTGGCACAAGAGGGAACTATCAAGTGATGATCTCCAACTTTTAAAACAGTGATTGCAGAATCAGAACCACTAAAAGAGAAAACAAAAACATTTTCCCATCTTCCTATTTACCAGCTCTCCTGCCACCATAAAAAGAGAAATCCTTTATCACAAAATCTGTTTCTCTTTGTATGTGATAACATTTATTTTTTTTCTTTTTTTAAAATTAATTTTATTGGTACATTTTAGGTATACAATATAATGACATTCATCGTTGGAAATTTGCACCTTGACATAATCTCTCTTGGTTTTCATTTTTTCCCCATTCCCTGCCCTCCCTTCAACCCCTCCATCCCTCCCTATTTATAAAGACTTTGTTTCATTTGTTTAATTTTCTCATATTAATTGCATTCCCTTCTTTTCTTTCCCCTCCCCCTCCCCCTTCCCCTCCCCCTTTGCCCCTTTTCTTCCTATTTCACATTATCTATTATACCTTTTAGTCCTTATTTACACTTTCAGTTTCTTGCACTAGAGAAACTATTTGGTATTTACACATGTGTGTCCTATTTCACTTAAGAGTATTGCCTCAATGTGCATCCATTTAGCTATAAATGTCTCTAATTTCTCATTTTTTATGGCTGAGTAGTACTCCATTTTATAAAAAAACACATTTTCTTTATCCAGTCTCCAGCTGATGGGCATTTAGGCTGTTTCCAAGTTTTAGCTATGACAAACTGTGCTGCTGTGAACATGGGTGCACATATATCACTGTGGTATGATTCTTTTATTTCTTTGGGGAAGATACCCAGCAGGGGAATAGCTGGGTCAAATGGGACTTCCAGTCCTAGTTCTTTGAGGTATCTCCATACTGATTTCCACAGTGCTTGCACCAGTCTACACTCCCACCAGCAGTGGAGCAGGGTTTCTCTTTCCCCACAGCCCCGCCAGCATTTGTTATTGGTTGATTTCCTGATAGCAGCCATCCTTTCTGGGGTGAGGTAGAATCTCAGCGTTGTTTTCATTTGTATCTCTCGAATGACCAGTGATGTTGAACATTTGTTTTTTGGTTTTTTTGGTACTGGGGATTGAACTTGGGTCCTTGTGCTTGTGGGGCAGGTGGCAGAACCACTGAGCTAAATCCCCAGCCTGAACATTTGAAATGAACAAACATTTCTCAGACTAAGAAGTAGAAATAGCAAATAAACCTATGATAAAATTTAGAATAATATAATAATCATGTATGCACTACCACACTTAAGAAATAAATCATTGAAGATACCTACAAATGAAGCCCCTTCTCTTTCTAATACTATTTGCTGATTCTTCCCCAGGGTTGACCACCAGATCTGTAGATATGTACCCACATGTATGTATGTATTCTCACACAGTGTTTGTTGCATGTTTCTAACTCTGATGACATTCCTACCATGTGATTCACTTCATTTAACCCATTTTTAGAGTTATTTTGAGTTATTTATATTCCAACATAAAAAGATTTACTTTGTCAGTCTCCTATTGATGAACATTTAGGTATTTCTAATTTTTCCTTATTATAGACAATGTTACAGTAAACCTTATACACATCTCCTTATGTGCATGTCTGAGAAGGTCAGTCTCTAATATTGGGGTCTCCGGGTCATAGGGGCATTTGTGCATTTCCCACTCCATAAGATGTTGCCAAGTGCCCCCCACAGTGATGGAAGCAGTTTATCCTTCTCCTGGCAGAATGTGAGAATTGGCTAGGTTCCAGATTTTCATTAACATTTATACTATCAGGCTCTAATCCCAGCCTGGTGGATATTAAATTATATTTCAATGTGATTTTTATTCACATTTCCTTGATTGTTGAAGAGGTTAAACCTTTTTACATACATTTATTTATTTCCTTTTCTGCAACTTGCCCACTGTTCTGTATCTTTACCCATGTTTTATTTCTAATTTCTGTTTTTTTATTGATTTTAGGGAGCTCTTAATACAGTTTTTGTCTATTGTACTTCAAATCTTTTCTAGTTTATGGCAGGCCTTTTTACTTTGGTGTATTTTGGGGGATATATATGGTTTAAATCTTAATATGGTAAATTTTACCAGTCTACTTCTGGTTTGTGCATTGTGTATTTCTTATTTGAGAAATCCTCTTCTAGTTTGAGGTTATAAAGATATTTTTAATGAGGCAATCATTCTTCTAGGTATATATCGTAAAGAAGTGAAATCAGTATGTTGAAATTCCCATACTCCCATGTTATGCCATGTTCATGCCATGGCATGTTCATGTTCATGGCATACTCAGAATAGACAAGATATAGCATCAACCTAAATATCCATCAGCAGATAAATGGATAAAGCAAATGTGGTACATATGCCCAATGGGATACTATTTAGCTTTTAAAAAAGAAATCCTATCATTTGTAACAACATGGATGAACCTGAAGGATATTGTGTCAAGCAAAATAAACCAGGCATAGAAAGACAGCTCATAATCTCACTCATCTGGGGAGTGTTGAGCTCATAGGAAAGAGAGTAGAATTTGGTGGTTAGCAGGGGCTATGAGATAGAATGAGATGTTTGGCCAGTGTTGCTTAAGGGTATACAATTTTAATTAGGAAAGAGGAACCGGTTCAAGAGTGTTATTGTGCAACTTAGTGCCTATAGTTCATAGTAATGTGTTTGAAAATTGCCGAGAGAATAGATAATAAGTGTTCTGACCACCAAAAGTAAGTTAAAATAAGTAAATAAATAAGTATATGAGATAATTCTAATGCGAATTACCTCAATTTAGTCATTCCACATGTAAACATATTTCAGAACAATTATATACATGATAAATATATATAATTTTTAATTAAGAAGAAAAGATATTTTCCTGTAGTTTCCCCTATTAGTAGTGTTCTTCATATTGTGTTTCTAATCTACCTGCAATTAAGGTGGCTAGGGTAAGATGTATAGTGTAAAAATAATTAGCTGTTTAAATGTTTGTTGCTCTGAGTGTGGTGGTGCATGCCTGTAATCCCAGCATTTGGAAGGCTGAGGCAGGAAGATTGCTGCAAGTTTGAGGCCAGCCTGGACTACGTAGTCAGTTCAAGGCTAGCTTGAACTATATAGTGAGATCCAGTCTCAAAAAAATGCTTTTTGTAATTTTGGTATATGGAACATATGTGTGTAAGTTATCAAATATTATACCAAAATAAATCCTGTGAACCCACCGCTGAACTCAGTAACAATATTATTCACAGTGTGGCCTCTGCCTGTGGGCAGGTGCAGACTCTAGCCCGTTCTCTGTCCTCATGTGGAGATAACTGCTGTGTTAATCACTGTGACAAACAGTTACTGTGACAAAATATCTGAGAAAAGGATGAAAGATGTATTTTTGCTCATGATTTTGGAGGTTTTGGCCCATCACTTTGGGCCTAAGTTCAGGGAGAACATCATGACAGCAGAACCATATGGTGGAGGAAGCGGGTGCTCACCTCCTGGCAGCCAGGAAGCAGAGATAAAGGGAGAGGAAGGGGTGGGAAAAAGATATGCCCTTCCTAGGCACATTCCCCAGTGAGCTTCCTCCAACTATACCCACTTTTCTACAGTTTTCACCACCTCCCAATAGTCCATCCACTTAGGAACCCATCAGTGAACTAATCCATTCACAAGATGAGATCCTAAAAAATATGTTCCTCTAGAAGTTTCTAAAAATATTATGCCATAGGTAGCTGTTTGATACATACATACTCCTTCATTTAACATTTATTCCTAAGATTAGCGGTAGAGCAGATGAAGAGAGGTGTAGGAAAGAATGTCAGAGGCATGGCAGGGCAGGCTGAGGCAGACCCCATGAGCCACCACAAGGACTTTAATTTTTACTTGGAGTAAAATGGAAGATGCTATTAAGTGTTTGCTCTATTTTTAATGATAGCTGCTGTAGAAATCAATAATAGCAAAATTCATAATTTAGTTGGAGCCTGTTAACAGTCTGAGAAGGGGCAGATTAGAGTGTATAAGCCGCTTGGGGAAAATAAGTCAATTTTACACAGGATTTTGAAGATGAAAGACAATATAGGAATGGGCATTGTATGTAAGGAACGCAAGAAGCAAAAAGCCACAGAAGAAAAGTCAACTGGTAACAAAACATTTTACCAGGGCTGGGGATTTAGCTCACTGGTTCCACAGCCTGCCACACAAGCGCAACATCCCGAATTTGATCCTTGGTACCAAAAAAAAAAAAAAAAGAAAAATTTTATCATCTTGCAGAAGCTGTTACTTAGAAATTTATTACTTTTGATGTCCATTTAATAACAATGGGAGCCACTGAACAGCCTGAAACAATGACTGTGTTCTTTTAGAAATGGAACAAACAGTCCGTCAACTAATGGTCAGCAAGTTTGGCCGAGTAATAGATCTAGAAGCTCTTCAGACACTTTCTGTTAACACAACACTGGAAGAACTGAAGATCAAAAAACTTCAAAAGGAGCTAATGAATGCAAAGGAAATGAAGATGTGGGAGGTAAGGAGGAGGGGCCACAAAGTCTCCCTGGTTAAATCTGGGGGAAGGCAAGAAATCCTGGGACACCATAAGTGGTTCCTATGAAGCATCTGTACAGCTGCAGATGTCTGGGAGCCCTATCTGGTGCCCCAGGGTCCTAAGTCTATTTCTGCTCCCTTACTGACCAGTTGAAGGGATATATCTGGAACTAAAAGGATCTGCACTGGGTTTGGGGGTACAGGGTGAATGTAAATATGTTGTAAAATGGCATGAAAGATCATGGAGAGATTCTACTTTGAGGCCTACATTGATGCTCTGTGTTAGAAATGAAACTGCTGGGCTGGGGATTTAGCTCAGTGGTTTTGCCGCCTGCTGCGCAGCCGCAAGGACCCAAGTTCGATCCCCAGTACCAAAAAAAAAGAAAAAAGAAAAAGAAATGAAACTGCTATCTTCTGATGAACCTAATCGTAGTATCCTATAGCTTCTGCCTGCTGTTTCAATTTGGTAATCATAAAACATGCCTAAGTCATAAGTTTTATAACATGGATAGACTATGTGGCTGGTAGGGTTTTAGAAGGCTTAATGTCTACATATTGTTCCAGTGATATGTACAATCTAAAATAACTTGCTGGAGCAATAAGAGAGCAAAAGAAAGCCATTATGCCAATATGTGTTCATTCAGATCATCCACTGTGAGGCCAAGACTGGGAAAAGAGCACATGGCAATTTGCTGCTTAAATTAATCATCTTTCCTTTTAAGTAATGGGTATCATTCCTCAGCAATAGGGTGATATCTATATGCATCTTAGTTTTTGCCTGCTTTTATCCTTGAGCATACTTACATTCTTATCTTTAATCAAATCAGAACCAGTTGCTTCTGGTTACATTTTCATATTGGCTTCTGAGTATGTTTTTATGTATGCATGTTGCTTTATTTTCCTGATGTTCATCAAATCTGGATACTCATTTGTCTCTATTTCCTCTCCTATTTACTTAATCTATTTTATATCTCCCTGGCCTGGTAGCAAAAGATTGACCAAGCACGGTGGGAACTAATGATGAAGACAAAAGAACACACCAAAAAACTTCATCAGATGAATGATTTATGTATTGAGAAAAAGAAACTTGATTCTCGGTTGAATACACTACAGAACCAGCAGGTATATTCCTTTTTTAAGTACCTCTTTTCAGAATTGAGGTTGTCCTATAAAAGTAGCTATTCACAAGAATGTCAGGTGCTAGCATTTTTTTTAAACAAACCTAGTTGCTCTCTGGGCGGGGGATTTAGCTCAGTGGTTTCGGTGCCTGCCTCACAAGCACAAGGTCCCAAGTTCGATCCCCGATGCCAAAAAAACAACAACAACAACAGACCTAGTTGCTCTCTTGGATTTCACTTTATGTTTTCTTTAAGCATCCCAGAAATAGTCTAAGCCAAGCATTCTCAAGATATGTTCCCCTATTCCTATCACCCAAGAAATGCAAATTCTGGGGCCCTACCAGAGCTAATGAATAATAAATTCAGAGGGCAATGTCCAGTAATCTGTACACCGGCAATCCTTCCAGGTGATTCTGATGCAGCCTAGAGTTTAAGAATCACTGGTCTAAGCAAAAGTCCCTCCAAAACATTTATTCCATGGGGAATGAATACAAGGATTTGGAGAGTTTATAAATGGAGTTTAGTTATAAAAAGAAGACTCGAATTTGAATATTAAGGACCCTTTATCCACTAAAAAATCAAGTTAGTGTTTGAGAGAGTTAATACCTAAGCAAAATCTACACCAACTAAGCAGCCAGTTAAGATTGGTTGACTTGCTGTGCTTTGAAAGTCCACAGAGCAAAGAGCTTGGAGGCAGGAAATCAGCTCTCCAGGGAAGGAGATTGCCAGAATATGTCTCTGCAGTGTGCATTTTTACTTAGTATATCTTTACAAGTTACATAGGCTGTCTCATTTTAATCCTCAAAGTACTACTTTCCCAAGCTCAGAAAAGTTAAGTAACTTTCTCAAGTTCTCAGAATTAATGCATGGTGAAGTTAATTTTAAATTCTGGTCTGTCTGCCTCCAAAGCTGGCTTCATTGCTTCTTATAATGATCTGGGGATGAACTGGAAGGTAGTTGGTAACAATGAGAAAGCAAGTGTCACAAGACATTGTAAAATAAGAGTAGCCAAAATTTGATTGAGTATGACGAGGAGAGAAAGAGGTAACTTAAAAGTGGCCGACTGGAATGACAGTGTATTGGGCATGTTTTTTAGCTACAAATAACCAAGACCCACTTGAGAGTATTAAACAAACAGGAAACACTTTTTCACTTGACAAGTAGTCTCAAGGGAGATGACTGTGGGTTTTGGGCTTGGTGGGTCTGTGATATCAGGCTATCTGGGCAGTTTTCCTGGTGTTCCTTCATAGCCACAAGCTGGCTGCTTTGGCTCTGTTTTGTATTCATTTGCCATCCTTTTCTACTCCTTTTGTTAAGAAAACACAAGTTTTCCACTTATTGAGCTAGCCACCCCTAGCTGAAAGAGAAACTGGGTAAAGCTAGGGTTTAGTTGTTACAGCATAGCAGCACAGTTTACAATAGCTAGCCTATATGTCCCTCAACAGATGAATGGATAAAGAAAATGTGGTACTTATACACAATGAAATGCCAATCTGCCATAACAAAGGACAAACTTGAGTCTTTTGTAGGAAAATGGATGCACCTTGAGACCACATTAAGTGAAATAAATCAGACATGCAAGCTTAGATATCACATGATTTCTCTTGCGTGAAAAACCCAAAATATAAATAAAAAATAGTTAATAGAAGATAGAGAAATAGATCTTTTTGTAAAAGAGAAAGGGACCAAGAGATGTAGGAAAGGAGAGAGACAGGGTAAAGGGATGAAGAAAGAATTAAGATGTGTTATGTATATGTACCAACTCCCCATGAGGAATGTGATCATTTTGTACTGCAAGTATATTTTAATAAAAAAATAAAAACTGAAGAAGAAAAAAGATGCACAAAGGACTTTGTAGTAGTGTCTTAGGCCAGCCAGCCAATCTCTTGGAGTCCTGTTTCATTATCTGTAACACTGGAATAGTAACACTAAGTTTGCAGTTGTGAGGATTACACAAGGCAAGCTATGTAAAGCACCTTGTACAGATTGGGTACTAGGTAAGTGTTACATTTTTCCATTAACATATGTGTGTTTGCATTCAGCTTATTGAACATTTATTTTTGTAACAAGCATGAGGTAGGTGCTGGGTAGAATGGGGAAACTCAGTCATAATGGGCCCTGTCTCTAAGAGGCACAGAATCTCTCAAGAAAAACAGGTATCAAATAAGCATTTAGGTGGAACCATATGAAACTGCCATTTTAAAAAAGATTAAAGAAGACCAAATATCCTAAGTTTCAAACAGATCAATCTGATAGCTATAATGATATGTACATATGAGGGATATCTGGATAGGAGAGAGAAGGAAACCCTAACCTAGCCCATGGGTCACATAGGGCCTCCCTGCAAGTGAGATCTGCAGCATTAACAGGAGTTGGCAGGATAGGGAGAGAAGTCAGCCTTCTTTTTGGGAATTGTATTAGTCAGCTTTCCCATTGCTGGGACCAAATACTTAAACAAGGAGAGGTTTATTTGGCTCATGCTTTCAAAGAATTCAGTCCATGATTGGCTGGCTCCAAGGCAGGAATATCATGATGGAAGAGGGTGGCGGAGCAAAGCTGTGTAGTTCAAGTTCAGGGCAGCCTAGAGGCAGGCAGGGGAACAGTGCTAGGGAGGAAGGGCAGGGACCATATATAGTACTCAAGGTCATGTCTCTATGACCTGCCCTGGAACTAAAATCGGGGCTGTACAGAAAAAAACAAGCAAACCTATCTTTATGATTCCAGAGATGAACCCTCCAGGTAATGAATGACTGATGGATGGATAAGTGCTACTCTTCCAAAGGGGATTTGCATCTTAAGAGTTGTTCATTAGTCCAAAGGCATACATTTCTGATAGTATGATTTTAGTAGAGAATAGAAGACTCTTTAAATTAAGGAGCAGTAGCTTGTAAATTGACTGTAAAGAGGATTTTTCATGTTCCAAATGACACTTAAAGTAGAGAGATGTTTTCTTCCAACAGGGTAATGCCTTCCAGAGCCCTCGGAAAGCAGATATTGTGGCAAGAAAGAAGATCAATGAATTGATACAAGTCCAGGCAGAAAGAATTTTGGCCTTAAAGGAAGAGATTGCTCTTTTGCGTAAGAAAGGAGGGCTTATCCTTCCACCCATTCAGTCTACACAGAATGAATGAAGCCCATGGACCTTTAAGTTTGCTGTTTTGTCAAATCCACCCAAGATTTCTAACATGTTCACTATAAGTTCCATCTCCTTGTCACCTGCAACAATTTTATTTTAAAGTGAATTTCTCTAAAACTCTAAAACCAGATCTTCTCATGTAGTTCTTAATAATTTTCCTCCAACTTGGTTATGTTAGAACCGAATGCAGCACCCATGTAATTATTATTGAACTGAACCATGGACTCCATGGGTCTGGATATGAAATCTTACAGGGTATCTCATAATTCCAAGAAAGTATTTGTAGTATACTTTGTTTTAGGAAAATTATTTTTCAGGTATTCTTAATTTTGAGCCATTGGCAAGAAAAATGGTCATTTAGCCATTCATTAGAAAACTTTTTTTTCTTGGTCCTTGGATCCTTATAAAATAAATTTTGTTTTCATTAAATATTCTCTGGGAAAACACAAGAGAAAAATTATTTTGCCAACAGTATCTTAGAATAAGAAATGCAAATTAGAATTTGGTATTGTTGACTTCATAAAGCAGTTATTTGTGTGCTCAGGATTCAGGAAATGCAAACAGACATAGCAAAGCAATTTCCTTTGGGTTGGCAAAAAGCAGGAAAATAACCAGCTTCCTGAATCACTCACAGATTTTGCCAACTCCTGGGTTCTGAGTGGAGCAGACAGCATGTTTTGCAAGGGGGCTAAGGGAGTTTTCTCTGAAGAGTTTTGCAAGCCCATCAGTATTCTAAGTATCCTTGATAGTTTCTCATGTCCTGTGACATCTTCTTTCAGGTTTTATTGAGTCATCTGCTGGTTTTGATACAGCTTAGGAAGAAATGAAATGGAATAATATCTCTCTGAGAGATCTTCTGTAATAATCACTTTTGATGATGTGTAACATTTTCAACTAGCTTAAGACTATCCTTTTGGTGTGGGGAGTGTTTATGAAATTCATGGCCACAGCTACTGAGGAGGCATGATCTCACTGACACTTGGCATCCTGGAGAGTATGGCACTTTGCACTCAGAGTCCTATGGGTCTGTACTACTGCACCACTTATTGAGCCTGTCCCAGAATATTCATTCCTCACTGAGAAGGAAAGAGGAGGAAGGCAATCCCTGTATTTCATAAATGTATAAGGAAGCTCTGCAGTGTCAGGGGTTCCTAACTTGTGGTTAGCTTGCTAAACCTGCCCCTCCAAATTATACACAGGACTTGCTTTCCTTGTATGTTGGAATATTCTTAGACGTGGCTGCTTGGCGTATTGTCTAAGACTCCTTCACATTCCTATTAAGAAGTCAGAATGATTTGTTGTTTACACCTATCACCTTAAATCTTGGATGTAGTAGCTTCTCTACTGGAGAACATCTTATGCTGTATGCCCAACTCTATGTTCCTTTCAAGCATTTTTTAAAACATGTTAGTCATGAGCCGGGGATTTAACTCAGTGGTGCTGTCGCCTGCCTCACAAGCACAAGGTCCCAAGTTCGATCCCTGGTAGTTAGTCATACCTCTGAGTGTTTTATCTTTTTTATTGCTGTGTAAAAATAATCACAAAACTTAGCTCAAAACAACAAACTTATTATTGCACTTAGGTTAGGGGTGAGAGTGTTTTGAGGGGTCAGGAATCTAGGATTAGTGTCCCTGGCTCAGGGTCTCGGAGTTGTAGTCTGACTATGAGTTTGGGCTTCTGCCACCTGCCAATCAGCAAGAGGCTTCAGTTTCTTACCATGTGGGCCTCTTGACGGGGCTGCACGTGACGTGACTTCTCCAGAGCCAGTGATCCAAGACTGAGGAAGAGAGTGAGAAAGAACCCCTAGGGATGGAAGCCACAGCCTTTCACAACCTAGCCTCAGAAGTGACAGACCATCACCGTTACCAAATGGGTCACACAGGCCAAACTTGGTGTGATGTGGGAGGACTGATGCGGGGGTCAGTGGGGGCATTGTCAGGCCGGCCACCACATGGAGTAGCTCATGGGCATCTGAGAAAGATATCAAGGAGAATCTACTCTCTTCCTAGTTGTGAGAGCCATAAGTTATGTAATCCTCCTGGGCCTCATTTTATTACCTGACAAGTGAGGAATTTAGATAAGCTCTGAGCTCTTTCCCCTTCCAAAATTCTGTGATTTTAATTGCAGCAACAGTGAATTTATTCTGTAAAAGCCATGTCAAGGATTCTTGCATATTTTAATTTATAGTGAAACTAATCAGGATTGTTTTTTCCAATTTTAAATCATTAGTTAAATCTACAATCTGCAGCACTTCATCCACCATGCTTGGAATTTGACAACATAGCTAACAACACTTCATTATTTTATCTTGAATTGGACCAGATGTATTATTAGCCTTAGTTTCATTTCTACTTGATTCCAGTTATGGTCTTGAATCTGTAATTCTGTATGAACACCTGCGTCTTTGGGAAACTTCAAACAAAAAGAGAACAGAAGGGTGCAGCCTGGACGAGGGGTGGAAAGCATCCTGTTCCCTTGATCCATGTGCTGTTTCTTGCCACTTGCAGTGCTCTAAAGCAGCCTTACCTCTGAGGCAAAACCACCTACCAGCCTGTGTTATTTGTATGTTGTTAGTATGATTTGACCACTTATGTTTTTGGTACTGGGGATGGAACCTAGGGCTGCTCTATTACTGAGCCACATTCCCAGCCCTTTTTATTTTACTTTGAGAGAGACGCTTGCTAAGTTGCCCAGGCTGGGATTGAACTTGGAATCCTCCTGCCTCAGCCTGCCAGCCTTCTGGCACTACAGATATGCACCACTACGCCTGGCTAACTTGGCCACTTTGAACTCTTGTCCATACTATCACTGGAACTCAGCACGGAAAGGAAAGAGACTTAAGTTCAGCCCCTGTCTTGGCACAGTAAAAGGCATTGTTCATTCCTACCAAGGTGACCCATCCCATCAGAGGGTTGTCCTCAGAGGTCTGCAAGACCCCACTGCTCTCCGTACCATGAACTGGCTCCCACCCACCAGGTCTTACTCTTCCTGTTAGTGATTTATGTTGTCATGACAGACCGAACGAAAAACCTGAATCTAAAGAAATAAAAGTACATGCCAGGGATTTAGCTCAGTAGCACTGCGCCTGCCTCGCAAGTGCAAGGTCCTGAGTTCAATCCCCAGTAGCGCAGTAAAAAAAGAAAGAAAAGTACAATGAAATTGAGTATCTGAACGGCTTCATTTTCTGGGCTGACATTTAAAGTAGCATGTCCTATTTCCTTCTTTCCTGCAATTGGTTAAGGTAAATATACACATGTATGCCATTTAACATAGCCCAGAAATTCTTTTCCTTTCATAGGATGCATGCATTTTTTTAAGAGCTAAAATCAATCTGCATTATGATTCCAATGATGTATTTTATACATTGTTTCAATTAAGTTCGCCAAAATCAACTTTGGCAATTACTTTAGATCATCAAGGAAAATTTAAAAAAAAAAAAGGGAGAGCCTTTAAAAACCTCCAGTGGGTTAACAGGTGAGCGGCACCTTAGATCTGAGAGTGCCTGGATTAGCAAAGATCAGAACAGTAGCTGCCCTAACCTGGAAGTGACCTCTAGGCCCTTGATGCTAGGCTGTGTCTGAAATCCTAGTTATCTTATTTCTTCTCTTGCCTTCTCTGCTACTTCTCTGTTCCTTTCAGTGTTTTGAAAATACTGCTTTCCTAAAAATCATGTTGTGCTTTGAAGAGAGTTCTTTAAGATTTAGCTGTTTGAAGGCCAACGGATCCAAGTCCAGGGAGGAGCAGGTGTGAATCTTCTTGTGACCAGCAGAGGGTGCACTAGACTCAAGCAGTCAAGTCTGAACATCTCTTCCAGCCGGAGTCCCACGCTTTCCTGGGACAGCATCTGTCAAATTCTGATGTACTCAGAGCTACAGCACTGGCTTAGCACATGCAAGGCTGTGGGGTCAATCCCCAGCACCACAAAAAGAAAAAAAAGTCTAGCACATTTCTTAAGAATTGTCTCAAATGGCATTTCATGTGTAACTGGCTTTTGCTTAAATCTACAAAATATACCCTACCTGCAAACCCTCAGTTAAAAGTGTATAAAGCCTTTCATCACAAGCTTCAGTCCCCATCTGAGGAGTTAGCTCACCTATTAGTCCACTGGAAGCTTTTGAAAAATCTCCCTTCCACACAGAAAGGTTTTAAAAATTTCAATAAAAAAAAAAGAATCTGTAGCTGATCTTTTGGTTGGACAAGAGTAAGTAAATGTTGATTTTAAATAAGTGAGTCAATGGCTCCAGCAATGCTGGCTGGTGTACCATTAGGAAGAAGGGAAGTACATTTATCAGGCATCGTATGTTCACGTGTAGCACAGCACTTAGCTAAATGGTAGTTTGGAGGAAATATTTGGTCTTCAACACACACGCCTACATTAAAAGGATTAGTTTCATTCCTCCTGTATGACCAAAGCTTTACCTCAAATCCAGTCAGCAGAACTGTGAATCCACGGCTCCTGGCCTAGTGCACAATGTCTCCCTCTTGGAGTAAACAGTTACTAATGCATTCTGCATTAATCAAAACACAACTGGCATTCAATGTTTAAAAAATGAAAAACATCTGCTACTGTTTCCAGTTCTCGGGGCTTGGTGGATCTGAAAACATCACAACTGGGTATTTTCTTCAGCTTCTCAAAGACTGAATTCTAATGGCTAAAGAAAATGCTGACTCATCCATGACTAAGTTGAAGGTTACAGGGAAGACTAAACATTTATTTAGAAGTTACAGTGTTTGTTTTTACAGAGATATGTTGCCACAGATTATTGATTCTGGAAGGTTTGTTAATGCTTATGGTGCTGTACAAGAGTCTGTTCTCATGGCATCTTAGGAAACACTTCCTTTGCCACCAGACCGAACCACCTTCCGGGGGGATCTCCAGTCTGTGATGCCCTGGCCCTTGCTTTTCGCTGGTGCTCTTCACAGTGTGCTTGGATCCAGCCTTCCATTAGCTCCTCTGTGGGCCTTCTGCAGCCCCCAGGCAGTGCGGGTTCTGTGAGGAGTCCACATCCTGGCCAGTCCGTTCGTGGTTGACTCCTGTTATGTTTTGGCTTGTTTCTACTTCTGTACATCAAGAGTGAGGATTCCTTAGGATGCTCCAGAATTATAAAAACACATATACATTTATTTACAAGTGCATAAATATATAAATATGGCTATAATAGAAAAATAAATACCAAATTTCTGTCTCTTAAAAAAAAAACAATATAGTCTTTCTAGGATATTGGCTTCTGCCTAAACTGTGGGAGGTGGTGTTTCAAAGGACACATGCACTGATGGGCTACAGGAGAGCCGCATCCCAGGTTCCTGTGCAACATAGGCCCCCGAGGGGTGCTGGGCACACCAGTTTCCTCCACCCACTTGGCAGCAGTCAGGACTGTCCACTTCTTCAACTGGTACTAGGCCCAAGCAGCATGGGGGCCCTGAGGAAGAGAGAAAGTGGCAAACATTAAAATCCAGACAGACTGACTGGTTCTGGGCCCACCTCTGTGGTAGGAGCTGGTTACACTGGTTCTAAGGGAGGGACAGAAACTTACAGCCAGTTAAGGCATTTGTGCTCCTACCAAGGTCTAACTCATGTGGGGAGGGCCCCTTCCTATCCACATCCTGCCTACCCTGGGACCTGGGACTGTAGAGCACTCAGGGTCTCAGTTTGAACCAGAGGCAGATGAAATCAGAGGAGCCTGTGGAATGCGGAAGGAAGCTCTGCCCTTCCCAGACTCATTGGTATGGCTTCTGGTCAGAAGCATCTCACTCACTGTGCCTACCTCCCAGTCCAGCCTGGTCCAATTTTCATGATGCTGGGTCTGGCTCTAGAGGTAACTGGTTTCAGAATTTAATGTCCCAGAGACAGAGTCCAGGATCTCCACGTGACTGCCTGCATGCCTCAAAGGTTAGGAAACATTGCCAGTCTTCCAAACTAGCCTGTGCCCTAGTGTGCACCCCAGATTTCCAAGGTGGTTGCCCCAGAGGGAGACAGTAGGGTGGGGTTGGAGCCAATGGGCCAAGTCTCTAGGAGCAAAAGTTCTGTGGAAACACCGAGCTATGATGATGATGTTTACAGGAGCTTAGCACTTTAATGGTTGACACAACTTCTTCCTTAATTAAGAGACAAGACTCAACAAAGCAAGTGATTAGAGATGCTTTCGTATGATCAGAGGCAAAAAAATGTGAGCCTTGAAATGCAGAGGCCAAATGGGCTCCTTCCTCTGAAATGGTGACGTGTCCTGGGGTTTTGTGGACCACAGATAGCAGCACCAGAGCTGGACAGAACCCCCTGGGCCTTCTGTAATGAGGGACCCACCCATCGCCACTTCCCTTGTCCCTTCCATACAGACCTATGGATGGCTCTTTACCAAACAGCACTTTAAGACTGCTGTCCACCCCTCCTCCAATCCACTGCTCGGTTCTGGGTCCCTACCTCAGATCACCCCCATTCCCCTGGTTGGTTTCCCCAAGCTGGCTAACCTGAGTGGAACGGAGGGTCCCAGGCAGCATCCAGCTTAGGACTTTTGGGTGCTCTCCTTATTCCTGACTGGCTGATGGCTGCAGGCTGCTCTTGGAGGTGGCAGTGGTCTTTGGGCTGGAGCAGCTGGTGAGTGGAGTCATCAGGCAGTGTGTACAAGAAAGAGCCCTCATCCGGGCTAGACTTGGGACCCCTGCATTAAACAGGACCGGACAGGGGAAGTAAGACAGGAGCAGAGGTGGCCTGCACCTCCACCCTCCCCTGGCAGCTTCCCTGGCTGAGGCTACCAGAGCTGGTCAGAGCTTAGATGGGACAACAACTGCTCCCTCTGAACACCAAGGGGTACATCCCCATGGACGGTGCTAGCCCATTCCCATTTTAGTCTGTGTGGGACGGTGTGAATGGGTGTTCAGGAGTCTGAGTTGGTGTTCTGGTCTACCCAGTGAAGGAGGGATTCTGAGAAGCAACCCATGGCCCCAACCAGAAAGGGCACTGTACCCATAAGCACAACCAGTAATGGTCCTGGGGAGCAGAGTTGACAGATATGGGGGTCTCTGAGTAAAGCACTGCTCAGCTCTGGAGCCTGGGAACAAAAGAAGAGCAGAGGAGAGGCTTGGTTACCTGGTAACATGGTGGCTCTGGGGATCATATCCATTGTCAAGAATGGTTTGCCTCAGCAGGCTGTTGGTGTCACCTTGCTACTCAAAAGAAAGAGTAAAGAAAAGGTCATGTCAAAGGGTCTAAGAAACTTGCCATCATTCACTGTTCAGTAGGAGGGGCTGTTGCTGACCAAGGGAAGCCTGACACAGCAGCTGGGATGAGAAGCTAGAAGGGAGAAGCCTGAGAGACAGCCTATCCACTTGTTCCTGTCCCTGGCCTGCTGCCCACACACTCAGGAGTGCATTACCTGCTGCAGCTCCCCTGGGCAGTGCTGCTGAGGCTTCATGCCTGGGTAATCCCCTGCAGCCACAGGGCAGCTCCTGTTCCCATGCAGCCCATTAGCATAGGCCCGTCCATGGATGCCACTGGGGTAGGGCTGTCCATTGGCTCGGTGGCCTGGGAGTCCTCCCAATGGCACCATGGTGTACTGGCAGGAGGAGGACAGAAGCGCACTTCGAGGGAAACCCACATCTGTTGTATGTTCTGGAAAAAAAGGACAGAGGTTCGCTTAGGCTAAGGAGGCCTAGGGCAGCTGAAAAGTTCCACTCTCTCAACCACATGGGGTGAGGATGTAGGCAGGGGGATGACATATCCAACAGGATTCTGACTTCTCCCAGAATCTTACTGTCACTTCTTTCTTCCTAACATGTACCTTTTTTCTGCAGTGAGAAGAAGGGTGGGGAGACACAGGGCACTGGTTTGGGGGAAAGAGGTAGTAAGTGAGAAGGAGAATTATTTAGGTGAGGGAAGTGGGCTGCATGTGTTGTTATTTGAAGCAACAATCAGTGGATAGATCAGACTAACCCAGGATAAGGGGAAAGCTCCAGGCAGTTCTACGCCAAGAGAAGAGGCAGGAAGTGCTTCAGGGAAGAGGTGGGGCAACTGAAGTATGAACATGGGGCAGGAGGAGCAGGTTTGGACACCTGAAGAGGATGGAGTGAGGTAGGTACAGAGGTAGACAGACCAACTTCAGCTACTTCACACTCCCCATCAGCTAAGGTTATGGAGCTAGGATAGAAGGGCCCAGTCTTGGGGTAGTCTCTAATTCTCTGGGACCTTGGAGCTTGAGCTGCCAGTGGATGTAGAGCAGGTGCCTCTGACCCTATTCTGGGCAGAGGGCTCCTTGAAGGGCTGGGTGGCCCTCCTTTCTTCCTTCCAGCCTCCTTCCTCCTTGTGAGAGAAATGTTACTCACTTTGCTTAGACCAGGCCCTCCACAAGCAGAAGGGGATGAAGGTGACGATGATGAGCACAATTGAGCCCAGGACGACTCCAACAATCAGATAGGGCAGGTCGCTGGCACGTGCCACCATGGCCCCAGTGCCTACTGGTCGCTCCATGGTTTCTGGGGGTGGTGGCTGTGGTACAGCCAAAGTTGGGGGTGGGAGTCGACCAAGCTGACCAGATTTCCGAGCTGCAATTGGGGACAAAACACACATCCGCACTTATTTCTTTGACATCTTCTTTACAACAAGTAGAAAAAGAAAATACAGTCTTCCCATTCCATAAACAAATGGAGGTCAAACTCTCAAGATGGGCTTCAGAATCCCTTTTATGTGAACTGTGTCTATATTCAGCATAAAATTGGCATCTAATGTGAAATCTGGTGTTGCTGAGATCTGAACTTTATATTGCAAAATACAACATTTTTGTGAGCCAAGCACTGAGGCGCACTGGTACAGTGTTTTCTGAAAGAATAACTGGTGAACTTTGGGAGGAAAATATTTAAAATGTGTAAAACCAGCACATGAATTGTGAATGGAAGAATTTACCTATAAATTTGCTATTCCTGGTTTAAGGGACATGAAGTACTAGGTATTAGTTTGGGTTGCAGAGCAGTGAGGTATATGTTTTGGGACTCAGTGAGACAAACAGTAATTGGGAAATGCCAGTTCAAAGGTGGAAAGTGATGCACACAAACTTCTCACCTTGGTTTTCTATTACAGGTGGATCTGGCACTGTGAACTCTTTCACACCTGTCTTCTCCCTCAACTTCCTGATACCAGTCTTCTGATCTTCCACTGCCACCCTGACTGCTGTTTTACACTTCTCTTTTCTTTCTGCTTCCTTCCCT